CTTCCTGGCAGCAAGTTTCCTATATGGTTCTGGCAACATCCACCAAGAAAACATTTCATTCTGCTGCTTTGCCAGCCCAGTGTTTTGAGCTCTGAGTCATATCTCTGACACATTTATTTTTATACTGATACCCATCGTTGCCTATTTGCAAGGCTTTCATTTTTGCCTGCTTTGTAAGGTACATAAGCTGAAATGTAAGAACTCGATCCTGTGAGGTACTGAAATTCCCCACACACACAATCCGTGCTGTTCAGTCAGCCTCTCCCTGTCTCTCTGGTAGCCTTCAGGTGTTGGGTCATGAACCTGTAGCATAATATTCTGTACTAGAATACTCTTGGCAGTACTACATGCATCTGAGTATAGGGATGACCTATCCTGACAATGTTATCCCTGTGCATTTCCCAAGTGCTTAGCCTGTATTTCAGAAGGACAACCGGATGCATATGGTCTAAGCTGAGTTAGTGTGAGCTAGCTCACAGTTTTTTAGCCTCCGGCTCACATATTTTTGTCTCAGCTCAGGAAGGATGGCTCCAGAGCAAACTAATTTATGCAGTAGCCAAATTGCTCACTCACAATAATGCCAGTAGCTCACAAAGTAGAATTTTTGCTCACAAGACTCCACAGCTTACAGGGAGTATTGCTCCAGGGAATACTTTTTAAAATCGTGGCTATTACTCTAAATTGATGTCAGATTAGCTTTGTATTAAATGTTATGAGGGGCACCTTCAAGGGCTTGTGGGTGCATCTCGTTTTCTTCTCCCCCACTATATTCTCTTTTTTCCTTTTTTGCAAACCTGTATAGCCTTTTTTCCTGCTTCCTTCTCTTCTTCCCATGCATAAGCCAATCTACCTTCATCTCCTCCCCTGTCTTCATCTTTCCTTCCTTCTCTCCCTTCCCTTGGCAGCCTCCCCCCCCCAAAAATAATGTGGTCAGGTTGCATGATGCCAGCTTCCAGTTGGGGCTGAGCTGCATGATGCCAGCGGGGCCAGGCCCAGTTGCATGGTAGGGAACCTGTGAGGACTTGTTGGGGACCTCTCACTTTTACCTGTACCCTCCTATCCATACTATTTCCTCTTTTTCTCTTCCTGGCAGCCCCCATATCTCAGCTTTCCCTGTTTCCTTCTCAGCTTCCCACCCACCCACCTAACATTTATCTGTGACAAATACTCTGAAGTGATATGATGTTGCCAATGTGACGCCAACATGATGATCTAGGATTCAGACAAAACTCTTTGTTTTTACTGTGGAGGTTTATCAAGATCCTAGAGTGTTGGATGAAAGTCATGTTGGCAATGTGACATCACTTCCATGTATTTGCCAGCAGAGACATTATGCCAACAGTGTGGTGTCATTCCCCCTATCCTAGCCCCTTCCCTCACCTGCAGGTTGCCAGTGAATGGCTGATAACACTACCCTTTTGCTTGTTTGTTTTGATTTCAGATTTCTCTGCAAACCTGAGGCTTTTCTCAAGTTTGTAGAAAGTTCCATAACCATGATCTCTGGATTTAAGTATCCATAGATGGGGCCATCTTAAGAATTATACTGACAACTAGGGGGCCCACATATTGACAACTAGGGGACTGTATCTCATTTTCTCCTCCCCCAGTATTTCTTCCTTCTTTTCCATTAAAGCCCCCAGATTCCCTCCCTTTTCTTGCTTCCTTCTGTGCTTCCAATCTACCAGCCAATCTACCTTTATCTGCCCCTGTCTTCAGCTTTTCAACCTTCCCTCTCCTGGCAGCCTTTCCTTAGGTGCCAGCTGTGCCAGGCTCAGTTGGAGAACCTGCAAGGGCTTGTGGGGAGCATCTCATTTCCCCTTTCCCCACTATTTCCTCTTACCCATATCTTCACCTTTCTACTTCCTTTTCTGCTTCCCAGCCATGAACCAATTTACCTTTTATCAGCCCCCCCATCTTCAGCTATATTTATCATTCATTTACACCATGCCTTTCTCCACAATGGAGGCCCAAAGCAGCTCACGTTATTGTCCTGTCCTCCATTGTACTTCACAGCATCCCTGTGAAGTAGGTTAGGCTGAGAATTTGTGGCTAGTCCAAGGTTACCCAGTGAGCACCACAGCAGAGTGTGTGGGTGAGATGTGCAAGTCATCTGGTAGTGATTCATTCACCTGGTGGTTCCTGGCAGGCCTGGTCCCAATGAGTCGTCCCTCAAAGGGCCCTGTTCCCTTCCCCCACCTTTTACTGACATAAACCAAGGCTTGAAAGTGGTTGTGGTTGCCTAGCAATGGCCACTGAAGGTTTTCATTTCTTAAAGCTATAGGCACGCCTATCATTTTTGAAGTTTTTAACTCCCCCACTTGTTTGTTTGTTTTTAAGATTTCATGCTTTTCTGCAACCCTGGGGCTTTTCTCAGGTTTGTAATAAAATCTGTCTTGTATATTCACATCTCCAATCTCCAGATTTAAGTATCCACAGATGGGGCCACATTGAGAATTAGAAATATTGGTGTAATGTAATGTATTATATGTAATGTAATGTAAAGTTGTAAATTCAGGTTTGCTAAGGCCATGCAATAACACCATACACATTTAGCAAAGTCTGCGCATACTCAAACATGTGAAAGATTTTTTTAAAATCCAATATAAAAAGAAGAAAATTGAAGGGTTTGTGTGTGTGCTAGCATCATTAATTTAGTTAAGCATCTGCTCTCCCACTGTGAATTTAACTCTTCGGTAATTAGGAGAGTCTAGTTCCTCTGAGCCATTTTGTGATTAAATGTGCTTAAGATCAATAAACTGCCATGAGTGATTACAGTCATGTCAGATTAATCCCCCTGCAGAAAGTAATACCCTCTCTTTAAGCTGTCAAAGGAAGAGAGTAGGACGCAAAGATAAACTGAGGAACAACTGGAAAAGGGAGGCCACAGATTTCTCTAATATCTTTTGATTTTCTTTACATTAAAACAAGAGGTTTCTGACTGTGTTTTTTTAATCAAAGGGTTAATGTTTAATATACAGTTGTTTCTTCCTTTGTTGTGCAATCTGCCCTTCATCCCACACAGCTTCATCAATTAGGATCTTATTCTTGCATTACTACAAGATAATGTGTTGAATCCAACCAGCTTTTCCACTGGTAGAAAAGGGAAGAGGAGATCCCTTGTTCTAGTTATTCAATTCATTAATATATAAATATATAATGGATTCAATGGGAAGCACATTTTTACTGTAAGCCTCCCCCCCCCCCAATATCCAGCTGAGATGAAATTGGGTACTGCTCACCCATTGGAGGAAGGACAGAGTGGGCACTATTAGGCACGTATGGCTGCAATCTGCAAATTCATGCATTCCATAGCTTGCTGTTCTCCATTTCTTTCCACGTGTTTCTTCCCTGCTCCAGAAAAATAATGAAAGAAAAATAGTGAGGTGGAATAAGATGTGGGTTTAGGCAAGATTTAGTTCCTCTCACTCATGTCGTCCTAGCCCCACCCCACTCTCTCTTTTATTGCACATTAGCAAGTGTGAGAGAATACTGGATATGTTGTGAGTTCTCACATCTTTCTGTATCATGGATCTGGTCAGTTTTGGCCCTTGGTCTATTTCTCTTTTTCTTTCTTTCTTGAACATACATTATTGGGAGGACAAATTCTGCT